CATGTATCATGCATAGGAACGTTGACGCCTGCAAGGCTCTTGTTTGATGACATTCAATTATAAGACAATAATAAATATTGGATATATTTTGTGCCACAACATTGATTATCGTTTTTCATCTCGTAACTGTACAGTACAGTTTGATAGTTTCTGCAAATCCCGGGGTGCTCACTCTTAAATATTTCTATATGTTGCAGCGTTTATGGGGTATACTTAGAAGGAATTTGTAGCACAAGTGTGGGAAATAACCGTGGTGAAATTGGTTGTCCCTGGCGTATCTTGTATCAATGTGCCATGATTTTCTGCTTGATGTTAGCAGGAATTTCAAGCTAGACTGGGTGCTAAGCCGGTACACCCCCATACTAAGCCTACCTTTGGTACAGCCACGAGATCGCAACCGGACGGATCACTTTTTGCTTCCGAGAACCAGTCAATATTGCTCCCTCTCTGGCACTATTGAGTGGCCTTTTTCCTGTCGTCTTTTAGAGCACAATGTGATTTTAGTAAATGGTATTTCAAGTCCATATTATGATTTTACGAAAAATAGGTAACGCAAGTGTCTCATGTCTTGAAGTGGCTGCGGCACCCCCTGTTTGGTTGGTATGCAAGTGAGCTCCTTGGGCTGCAAATGTTATATGTAAAAATGCAAGAATGAGGAGATCGGAATTATGCATGTTTGTGATTAGTTTCTGTATTAGTCTATTAAGTTTAAGTATACTTAAATTCTTAATTGATTCAATAGGACTGATAATGGATTATTGATTAGTGGAGATGTTTAATAGTGGTTTGAGTTTGTGCATTTCTTCAGGCAATCTTTATATGAAGTGTGCTATGTACTTTAAAGGGCTACTTGCCTCATCCATTGTATGATTTGATATATGTGCTTATGGTATATTTTTTACATTTTTTGTTTTTTTGTTTTTTTTTGTTTTATCAATGTCATGAGTGTTCGAATAACTGTTGTTGTTCTACAACTTGTACCCACACTGCTCTGAGGGAGAAGATGCCAAATAAAATAACACATGAACATATATTATTATTCACTTAATTAGATTAATTTCTGTGTTCTCCTGAGCAATTACAATACATATTATGATTGAGATTGAGATGGTTTTTATTTGATTTGCTTTGCAGAGGACGTATAAAACATGGACGTCATTTTACATTTAAAGGTGTTGGAGGGGACACTGCAATAACACTAGTTTCACCAAGGGTAGAGGGTGCCTTTGTTGATGAAACAAATGCATATGCTGCCAAAGGGCCATGGTTACAGGTAAAGGCAAGCTGCTCTAACACCAGTAGAATATAGTGTTTGATCCAGTGATCCAATACCATGGTATAAGTGTGAAGCAAGACTTACAAGTAACTAGTAATACTAGTTACTTGTAAGTCTTGCTTCACTATACAAATATTGGCTGCTCATGAGAGGAATGGTGAAATCTGTTGCCCCGAGGTGATGTGGAGACAGTAGCCTATCTTTCCGAGGGTCTCCATATCACCTCGGGGCAATAGATTTCACTGATCCCCGAATATATAGAGCAGTCAATATTTGTTTTATATACCTTATACATAGATTCTACGAGGCGTAAAAAAGTACTTACTTCCTAGCCTGTTATATTAGAGGCATACTAGGCCTACTACTACTGGACTAGCTAGGCCTAGCCTAGGCCCTAAGCGATCAAAGAGTGTGTCTAGCTCTTCTTTGCTTATTTTCTCAATTTCAACAGCACCCATCATCTTGCAATATATTTGTCCAATATTGATAAGACATATTTAATTTGTCTTTTGGTGCTTTTGGATATCGGCAAGTAATGCTAGGCCTAGGCATCTGTTTGGTTAAGAAGCGGGCAATAGAAAGTACTATTCTCTGAAAAATAGTACTTTTTTCCCTGTCGCATGCAAACTGGAGGCCCACTTAACATCGCGCTGACGAGAAAAGGGAACTGCGATCTCTACAACGAAAGAAATTAGCCCTTGACCGCGCCATGGATCAGCGAGTAGATGATAAACAAATATGAAGGGTAGGACTAGTGGGTTCGAGCTGCTGGATGAAGAAGGACTAGCCTAGGCCTAGCATTTCTTCATGATAAAGCCGATAGCAAAAGCACCAGAAGACAAATTAAATATGTGAGGTCTCACTACGAAATGAGACGCATCGTTGGTGAAATCATATTGAGATATTCACCAAAACAGGCCAAAGTCAACATTTTTACAAATTTTGATTCTAATGTTTTTGAATAACTTGATACTTATTTTTTATGATTGTATACTTTGTAAGTGAATTTTCTTTCCAAAACAGTGTTCTCTGCATATATTCTGTAATCCTAGTCATATTATTTTGTACAGGTTAGTTTATATTTGAGGCCGATTTTCTCAAAACATGGTTCTTATACACCTAAACTTAAAATGCTCGCATCTCTGGATTTAGGGAAGCCATTCAAAGACCAAATGAAAGCTTATAATGTGATCTACAAAAATATAATATAAACTCAATTTTTGAATTTCTAACCATAAGACTCATTTTGTGGCGAGACCTCATGTCTTGTCAATATTCAACAAATATTTCAAGACGATGGGTGCTGTTGAAATTGAGGAAATGAGCAAAGAGGAGCTAGGCCTAGACACACTCTTTGATCACCTAGGCTAGTGTGTAGGCCTCAAAAGATAGGCTATTAAGTAAGTTCTTTTTTAGGCCTTGTAGAATCTAAGTATGAGGTGTATAAAACAAATATTGACTGCTCTAGATTCAGGGAATGTTAAAATCTGTTGCCCCTTGGTGATGTGGAGACTGTAGCCTATCTTCCTGAGGGCCGACCCTTGGGAAGATAGGCTACGGTCTCTACATCACCAAGGGGCAATAGATTTCACCATTCCCCTCCTGAGCAGTCAATATTTGTATATATGAATTGCAATTGTAAGGACATTTCAGCTGTCATTTGTCTTTTTCTAATAGGTAACCATGCATTTTATTAAATCTTCTTTAAACTTAGGTTCTTATTGATGATATATTTGTTGAACAACTCATAAAAGATTTGGCAGAGCTGGCCATAGATCCTCCTGTAAGTATAAATTAACATGTGTTTATTTTATTCAACATAATTTGAACAGTATATTATAGTGCCAATAAATGTGATGTAATTGTTAATAGGTTTTGATTGACTGTATGTACAATATATTATAGTGCCAATAACTGTCTTTTGGGCTACAAAAATGTCATTTATTATTATTATTATTGTTAATATTATTATTATTATTATTATTAGTAGTAGTAGTATTATGTGATTAAATGTGAGGTAATTGTTAATAGGTTTTGACTTACTGTATGTACAAATTTTAATAAGACTAGAAAAGAATTTTATTTGTTATCTTTCATTAAAATGTTTTAGAGCAGATGTTTGATTGTCATATTTTTTGGCTTGATTTGAATAACAGGTTGAACTGCCTAAAGAATATGACTGGCCAGAAAGGGGTTTGCACATTTCAATCCTTCCTGAAGAATCTCTTAGCTGAAAGTTTTAAAGAATAATGGTAACATACATCTCATCATTCACACACACCAAAGCAAGTTTAGTCTTGTACGCATGCATGCGTTTACAGCACAAGTCATACAATATACATACACATGCACAAAAATACTTACTTCTTGTACTTTTTTGAGATACAAAGACATCAACATTTCTTAAGATTTTAAATTGAGAATATGTTTGTATGCTATCAGTGATTACTATTGTACTGTGTGTGCTTTTTTCATACTCATTGTAATAAACTTAAAAAATATTATCCCGTCCATTATTTAAATTCTACATAATAGTTAATTTATTTTAATTCTTTTTTTGTGTATGTATGGCACTATGTAAATGCTTACAGGAAGGGTGAATAGTTATGCAGTGGGAATTTGAGGGGCCCCTAAATTTTAAAAAAAGGAGAAAACAGGAAAATTATTCACAAATATAAGTCTGAGAGTGCCATTTCTGGCCACTTAGAGGTGGCATTAATCAAAAATGATCTTACCTCTGCCTTAACCATGGTGGGGCTGAGGTAGTGTAGATCCTCCATCTGTGAATGTTCTTCCCTGGGCCCCCCTATATTTCAAATGCCTGGATAACCACTGGTAAGTTGGGGTGGGGGGGGGGGGAAGTTTATATTTAAAAAAAACTTGAACAGTATAAAATATTTTTCAAAACCTTGCATTTTCAAATTTTATTAAAAATATGGTATCTTTGTTCAGCTAAAAAACATGGAAAAATGTAATATTTAAAGTGCATTAAGTTACTAGATTTAATTGGAAAATTTGAATACATACATTATTCAATTAATGGATGTATGATTAATACTAACATACTTGTTTTGCATAGGCTTTTAGATAGACTGGTAATAGATTTAAGGATTTTTGCAAGGGTCCCATGTCTCCCATAAGCAAGCAAGAGTCCTGGAAAATAACCCATCCCACAAATTTGTAACATTTGCATGTACTTTATTATCAATTGTCTCATGGAGGTCAATGCAGATGGATATCACCATCTGCAGCGAAATGAAATTAGGTGTGTTAAGAAAGCACATTTAGTTATCATTCACAATTATCAACATTTTCACAAGTGTACAAACAGTACTCTATCGGTACACCTCTTCCCCACCCCCTTCCGAAGTGTACAAAAAAATGTAGATTTTGCAAAACCATTCTCCATTTTTTTGTGTAGTCAACTAAAGCAACGTACTTTGTTGCTTAAAAATGAATATTATATCCATCGGTACATAATAAAGAGAAAAAAACAATCATGGTTACATTATAATTTTAGCATTATTTTACATATTGCATGTTATTTTGAATCAACATTTTTTATGCATATGGAAGAGTGTACAAATTTGTCTACCCCCTCCGCCCTAGCATACTCTTTGTTCACTTGTGAAAATGTTGATAATGTTGAACGACCCCTCTCAGAAGTGACTTCTTCCAAATTGGCACCCCTGATTTTTGTAGTAAAATAGACTTGTTGCAAATATGTAATGTACCATTAGAATAACATATTTGATCATGTTAATGGGCTATTCAATGTTTTAAATGAATTGAAAAAGTTTATCCATGATTTTTTTTTTATGATGGTATATTTTTCTTTTAATATAAAATGCTTACAGTTTATTTTACAAAATAATATAGTTTTTTTATAATAGAAATACAGGACAGTCTAACAAAATATTAGTAGTGCTTTTATTTGACATGATATTATTAGAAATATTCAACATAGATTTGCCACAAAATGTAAATATATTAACAAATGTAAATATATTAACAGAAATATTTAATCTGTAAATGTAGTTGAACTGTTGTTGTATGTACAACAACACAAACAAAAGCATGTCATTGTGGGTACTAGTGTCAATGAACTACTGTAGATAGAATTGTCATAAATTCTATAGATCTATGGTTCTGCAAAATTGTATACGACAGTTTGTAGCCGAGTTGAGAACATGCAAATTTTAAATCTATTTTTCTCTAAAAGTGCAACTTTCAAGTACCTGTATGTTGTTTTTTCTCATAACGGTCGCATAATCACAATCTTAATAATTGATATTGTTTATAATTATATCAATTTTCCATATGGACAGATTACACATAACATGTATTTTAAATTCTTTGCTTAAGTTGCTGCAAATAGAACATGCGCAACGAGATGAAGTTAAGTTCCAGCAATCCTCCAGCAAGAATGCTCATGTGGTGTCTCACAACTCCCAGTCCTAATTACTTGGCATTAAATTACTGAAAATCATTAAAGTTGAATCAGATGAATTCAGTCAAAAAGGGATATTAGCTTTGTGCAGTGAGATGACCTACAACATACTGTATTGTTATTAATAAATTAAACATTATTAGATATTACTACAGGTACCTAAAATAACTTAATACAGTTGCACATGATCAAGCGTTATAAAAAAAAAAAAAAAAAAAACATTTTCGCTTGTATAGTAATGTTGCATTAAGCAGGTTTTGAAAAGGATGAATGAATATGTTATGTATTCGATTGTTCAAAAATAATTATTTAAAATGTGGTATAAAGTGCACAGTATGGCACGAAAAATTATAGTTAAGATACACTTTTATAGTTAAACAAATCTATATGTGCATAAGTATATACAGGTACCCTGGTCATTTGATATGTGGTCCATTCACCATATCTGCTCTTCCACGGTGAGTATTTCAAATCTTGCATAAAACTCAGCTTATACCATTCCATACTTGTTTGTTCACGTTAAATATATATTTATTAGAAGATGGTTCAATTACTTGTTAGTTAATTAAGTGGCTGTCATAAAATCCGTCCATGAAACAGTAACATGCATGCATAGTGATCTAGTGAATTTGTACAGCAATACTGTGGCCTTAGTAAAAATAAATGGTTATATTAGTAGCTAGTTGTTTGTTTGTTTTCCTGGAGCTTCATATATAATGTTATTCCAACAGTATGCTTTATAAACTTGTTAAATGTGCTGCGCAATTAAGGGGAGGTGATTTCCAATAGAATGACAAAAACAATAGGCTGTCTTCTTATTACCATCTTGCATTCTGCCAAGTTTGAAACCAATCAGACTTAACAAATTTTAGATTGTGGTAGAAAAGCAAATGACCTACGATGACGACAACATAAAACAACACAGGTAAAAACAATAGCCTTCCTGGAGCTTCGCTCCTTTGGGGGAGGCCAATTAAAATTTTTTAAACCCAGTTTGCCTAATCCCACTTTGCCAAAACCTAGCTGGCCGAGTGGTAATTTAACAAAAACAGGAATCAACAGCATAAAATGAATTAAATACATTACTATACTCTAAAACTAACATACATATAATAATTTAATAGTATTTTATCTGAACAACTGCAATGCACATTTTATAGGCTCATACTAAATTCTGTTGTTTTAAAATATGATATTCAAGAAATACAGTATATATTAATGGTTATTTTAGTTATTCACAATTTAGTATACATATATATTTATCAAAGCAATTTCAATGCACCAATTTTTTTTTTATTAAAGTCAGCAAACTGGGTTTTGGCAATCCGTTCAATTCCGTTTCAAATTGTTTAATATATGCTGACAATATGGCTTTATTTTTTTTCGGATTCAAAACGAATTGCAACATCAACTTGGTAACATCAATAACTGGCTACTAAAAAAATAATTTTTTTTTTTTAAACAACTTCTTTTTGGCTTTGGTGCTGCCACTAAGATAAAAATTGGAGACTACTGTTCAAGCTGTTGATAGTTACTATGTTTGAAGTATCTTGGAGTCTGGTTTGATCCTGCTGGTCCGTTCAAAGTTGTGTAAACAAGCAAATAGTACCTACTACATCAAAATCTACATTACTTCGACAAAGCCTCGGTATCGATTCATGGGCCGCTATGTATTCAACATCCAGAAAATCAGTTTTGTTTTTCTCTTGTACACTAACCTTACTCTTCTGGCATGGCAAGTAAATATTTCTCAGATAAAATCCTGCAAAATTGCGCAGCACGATCAATCCTACCACACACCTTAACTGGAAAACTCTTGGCGGAGAAGGAATCTCCATTGCCAGAAATGATTCTCTTCCCCCACACCCCCTCCCCCTCTTTCATGTGTTTACTCCTGGGCAGAGTTCATATTACTACACTGTACGCATACTGGGTACAGATTTGTGCAAACAGATTCTCATTAAAATAAATTGTATTAAAAAATGGGTCTCGGCAAAAAAACAAACTTTTCAATCAATTTTCAAGTATTTTTTCCTAACTGAAACGGTTTCTTTTTTAATTTTCAAAAATTGTTTTATTAGTATTACTTTATTTGTTATTAAATTATTATTAACGATATCTATTATTAATACTAGACCTCCAACTATTGCCATTTCTATCATTTTCATTGGCTGCTATGTATTTAACATCTAGAAAATTGGTATTTTGTTTTTGTCATCTGGAAGTACACTAGCCTGCCTTTACAGATAGGCTTATCACTTACCAGTGAGAATTTTATGTTTGTTAAACCTAGAATTACGCTCGTTTCTTGTATATATGCACACCCTAGTCTTCCTTTGTCGAATTCACACAAATTTGATTGATCTATTTATTTTCCACATAATGAACAAAAAAAAACATATACATGATCAAACATATTAAAAAAATCTACAGTATGTGGATGGAGACCACAATAAGTTTAAGAAAAACTTTAAGATGTGGCCACCATTAAAATAAAAATAAAATACAAACACTAAAAACATAAACAGGTTGTCTGGTTTCTATTTTAATACATAAGGTAGAAGGCTTAATTACCATACATCGAGACAAGATAAAAAGAAAAAAAACTGGGTAAAGATTTAAAAAAAGAGGTCAAGGGAATTCCATAACTTAGGTCCATTTTAAAATACTGAATTTTTTTCTAAGAGAAGATACACATTTTTCTGTAGTAATATTGTTTTTTGAAAACCTGGTTTGATAGTTATGAATTTCAGACTGTTGGGTTGGGAATAATAGGGTAATATGGATTGGGAGTGGAGTGTATTACTATAAATCGATACATAAAATTATAGGTTTGTAGTTTGTTTAGATCAAATATATTAAGTGTATTATATTTATAAAATAAAGGTTTAGTGTGTGTAGTATGACTTGACCCTGAACAAATCCTGAGAGCACGTTTTTGTAATTTAAAAATGCTATCAATACTAGTGGGTCTCAAGACTTGTCCAGGGGCATAGGTACGTATGTTTATCAACTGTGGTGGCCCAAGTACGAGAGATTGCAATAGTTAATATAGGGTAGGACTAAGGTATTGTATAATGATAAAAGTATATGTTGGGGAAAATCATTTTTTAACTTATTCATGACACCAATATTTCTAGAAATATTAAAAATTTTGTTACGATGAGGTTGCCAGGAAAGCTTGGAATCTAATGTTACACCGAGAAATTTTGTTTCACTGATCTGGTTAATAATATTATTATCTATTTTTAAAACATGATTATGGTCTTGTTTTGTTTTGTGATTAAAAAGAATAAAATTAGTTTTATTAATGTTCAATGATAATTTATTTAATTTAAACCAAGGATACCTTGCTTAATTCAGTGTTAGTAATTTTAAAAAGTTCTGATAAGTTTTTGTTTGAATAGAAAAGATTGGTGTCGTCAGCAAACATAACAAAACCTAATAATGATGAACAATTTGGAAGATCATTAATATAAATTAAAAATAATAAAGGACCAAGTATTGACCTCTGTGGAACACCACAGTTGATTTTAGAAAGAGGAGAATTATAAAGACTCAACTGAAACAAATTGTTGTCGATTGCCAAGGTAGCTTCTAAATACTGTAGATTGAGAGCAAGGCCTCTGACACCATAACGTTCAAGTTTGTTTAGTAAAATTCTATGATCAGTAGAACCTCGATTTTACGTACGGTACGGGACCAGAGGGCGTACGTAAATCGGGGGATTCGTAAAATAGAGGTTGGGTTAAATTTGTGGTAACCTTTGACCTAGTAACACGTACGTAACGCTCAATAAACGTATGTACGAACGAACGATGATACCTAGGCTAGCCCTTGCCTCTAGGCCTACGAATAAAACCATGTGTTTAGTGTTTTTATTCATCACTTTACGATGTCATAATAAAGTGTTCAAATAAAACCATGTGTCTAGTGTATTAATTCATCACTTTATATCTTTTATTCAACTAAAATAAAGAACATGAAAATATTGTAAGATTACCTATACGACAAAGGTATAACTTGGGAATTCCCCTTCGTGCCTATTCTAAACAACAGAGATGTGGTGTTGTCTGGGCCTGTTGAGACAAACTAAACCCATGTGCGCTGCACTGGGCGAGCCAACCAATTAGCGTTCGTGTACGTGAAACAGCAACCATGTGCTATTCACTGGGCGAGCCAACCAATTAGCGTTTGTGTACGAAACTATGTCTACTCAGCTTCGTGTAGAAAATTCGACCAGACGAGTTCTTCCATGGTTTGCCACACGAAGCTAAGGAGGAAAGCAATAATTTTGAGCATCATCGGTAGTTGTTCATCTCACTCACTTCACGTGGTTTTAGATTATAACAACCCGGTATTAGACTCAATCAACGTTGCTGTTTAATGAAAATACGTTGCATTATGGTTTGTTTATTGTTATAGTTTATTGTTATATTCTTTTTATATATGGTTGCTCTCAAAAGGGCCGTTTGTTTTGAATATTTTCGGGGTTTTTGATGACGTCATCGTCCATACGAGGCGTACGTAAAACAGAGGGTTCGTATAACTGGGGTACGTAAAAACGAGGTTCTACTGTAGTGTCAAAGGCCTTGCTCAGATCAAGAAAAATACCAGCTGTGAAATAATTATTACCAATAGCTTTGGTAATTTGGTCATATATATCAATAATAGCAAAATCAGTTGAAAAGAATTTTTAAAAACCATATTGGCGATTGTGAATAATATTGTGCTTATCTAAAAACCTAAGCAATCTGTTGTAAATTAGGCGCTCTAGGATTTTGGAGAAACAAGGTAATAAAGAAATAGGTCTGTAATTAGTAAACAAATGAGGATCACCTTTTTTATAAATAGGAACTACCTTGGCAATTTTTAGGGCATCAAGGAATGTTCCCTTTCCAAAGCAAAGATTAAAAATATAACATAAAGGTTTTGAAATTTGATTGAATATACGTTTGACAACATTGTTTGATATTTCATCATTTCCAAATATATGCTGCTTGCCTTCCCCACAGTCTTTTTATTTCTTTTAGTCAATACACATATTTATTTATAATTATTAGAGTATTATAATTATCACTCGATATCTATTAGTCATTTTATAAATCGAATTGACCGTCTTAAGACATACACAGCTGAATATGAAGGCCGAAACAGTCCTACACCAATACAAGACGATGTTAATTGTTGAAGTTACCGCCACTGCCGTATAGAATGAATACAGCTCTTTCATGGTAGCCGACAGGGGGGCTCAAGTTCCCCAAGCCGGACAGGTCGGGCAATCAGACCATAAAAGATATAAAAATAGGCCCACACCCAAGCCAACAATGTCTGTCACAGATTAGAGTAACATTTCCGGCCATCCAGAGGTTGCTATTCTTAAAAAAAAAAGCTCATTTGGGAGGGGATCCCTTCTACGACCTCAAGTCCCCCTGTTGGACAGCTTTGCGCACCACACCCCCCCCCCCCAAAAAATATCCTGGAGCCGTCACTGAATGGTACTGGTATATGCATTTATAATGCGCCTTTTCCTTGTGGTTATAATGCGCAATTCTTTTCCCTGGTCATTGGGTCACACATGCTTTAAGTGTTCCTGCTGGTAATCAGCGCATTTATATTCCTGGGTGGATAGAAGCAATGCAGATAGAGTATCTTGCTCAAGGATGTGGAAGTTGTTTGGTGCAGCGGGAATGTTTTGGTTTCCCTCGAGGTCGGGGTTTCAATCCTTCGCTGTGCATTTCACTTGTGTCCTTGCGTATGTAATAAATGGGTACGTAATATTTTTGAGTGCAAAATGCGCTGAAATATTTCATGCAGCAAACTATGGAATTTTCCCCATAGGCATCATTCCAATGACTGGGGTAATAATGTGGAAAAGCACTCTGAGACACAAGTGAACACAAGGAAACAAGTAAAATGCACAGCGAAGGATTGAACCCCAACCTCAAGGTTGGTAAACCGTTCCTGCTGCGCCAAACCGCTTTTGTATGGTAGTAGACACAAGGCATGTTTGATTGAAATCAGTAGGCCTATCGTTATTTGTAACCCACTGCTCTAGTAGTAGGCCTAACACTAAAAAATTAACCTAAATAATAATCAATTAGTCTCAGCAGCCTATAGGATTAATACTAAATTCCCAAAACAAGTCAAATCAACATTTTATCTTTACAGGATTTTAATGTCTTTAAAAAAAATGTACATTATGCAATATATTTTAAGGGTACAGATTAATCTCATCCTTTTGCAAGCCTTCTTCAAATAGAAGTTGTGGTTTAGCTTTACACATTGACAACATGATACCCTTTAATACATAGCATTTATCCAAATTTTTACAGTTTAACTTTGGATAGTTCATCACCTTTTTTTTGTCTTGAGATATGCAGCAACAAAACGGCCAGGGAAAATGAGCCTACAGTATGTTCACAAACTCTTTTCCCTATTATATTAGTTCAACTTTCATCACAGTATTCTTTACAATTCAATTGGGACAAATCACAATAACAATGACTTTTTACCACCAAGATTTCCTTTGAATTCTTATATAAAAGTACTTCATCTCTATCGACTTTCAAACACCTCAGCTATTCAACCTTGAATTTCCACCCCATAAAACCACACATTATTCCAAAGAGATCACTGTGTTTGGTTATGTCTAAGTCATCCTACTTTGTATCCCTCCAGACAATCTTAAGAATTTATTTCAACAAGAATGGATTTAGTATGGATGACACCTACTTATTACTACTTAGATAATACTGTATTCACTTTAAAATCACTTGAATATACAGGCAGAGTAATTATTCAGATATACTGAAAGGGGGTTAAATTAAGAAAACGTTACTGGCATCTTTTTCCCACACACCATCCCCCACCCACGACATAGGACATTCTTATCCTTCAAAATAATACCAGTCTTGTTGGAAATGTGTAAAAAGCAGACTTAACAAGCAAGTTGAAAAATGAAGTGTACTGTATTATTAAGGCACCATGACCACCAAATGCTGAACACTACACCAAGAGACAGTTTCCTGTTTGTTTTGTTTTTCCAACAAGTGTATTATGGTTTTTTTTTACTTGCTCATGCTCCTGCTTTTTGACTGACCTAGTGGTTTAAAAAAAAAGGGGAAAAAAAAGTAAACCAACAATTTCCAAATGTCATTGTGCTTGGATTTTTTTGGTCTTACTGCCAGGTTTAATCAAGTAATGGTGTTCCATAGGTTTGATATTTATTGTCCTTTAAAGATAATTAATATAAAACACTGATATTTAAAAATGTGCATACTGTTATATTAGCATACCAATTTCTTTATAATATTCAACTCTTCCTTTGATCACATGCACTAAATGCATAAGTACATCCACAGCTTCAAATTATTTTACTAGAAATGTAAAATGTGCTGAATAAAATATGGATTTGTTATACTTGAAAAAATGGATACCTGAATCACATCAGAGAAGAATTCAGCTATGACATGGATATGAGAAATTGAAACAAAAAAAACATGATATCAGTGGAAGAATTTTGCTATACTTCATGATCTACAATCTAACTCGCCCCATGATGTCAAAAAAATAAAATATAACAACTTCCTTGGCTAATATTTAGCTAAATTTCATTGGTGGTACACTATACAGTATAACTATGGCATATCTGAATTTCAAACACATTTCTGTATTTTTCATAAAGCAAATTAAAGATATCACTCTCTTATCTAAAATATTAACTATTTTTCTACTTGTAGGCTGTATGTCTGCATGTACATAAAACCATGCAGACTATCTCTAAGCAGATCTAGTAGTAGCAAGAATTGAGGGAATATGAATATATAAACAAACAAGAAACCACTGGATGCTTTTTTATCTTATGACATATATCTACAGGAGTGGTCAAACTTTCATTGACAAATAGTATACAGTTGGTATCATTTGCAAATACATTTACTGGTACTGGTATGGGCATTTATATTGCACCTTTTCCTTGCAGTTATAAAGTGCACATTTACATTTGCCAGGTGGGATGCAATTTTAACAAGCTTGAGGATGCAGACTATGCTGAAATATTTAGAGACGCAGCTCTTTGGTCATTTTTAGTTCTTGTGGAGAATTCATGATATATCATCGAATAATTGCTGAATACTGACAAGCTATCTTCTTCTTTTACTTGGTGGATAATCTGAAGCACGGTCTCCAGATGGCCTTCTCAACCCCCTTCTTGGAGGAGTAGTGCCCCTCCTACTTCTACTAGCTTCCCGTTGAATAGGCGACTGTTGTCTTCTTGTACGCCGTTCACCAAAAGGCTGCTGTTCTGTGTATCTGTTAGATGACTGTCTTGTTTGTGCCTCCCTTTGAGTTGGAGACTGGCCTCTACGCCCTGTTACTGATTCACTTGGGGAATACCTTCTTGGAACTTGCCTTTGCCTTCGACCAGGAATGATTGATGCACTGTTTTCAGTGGATCCTTTCTGTCGCTTTTTAGTTTCTTGTTGCTCATATACCTCGCCCTCCTCTTTACCAACAGATAGGCTATCTGTCCGTAATGACTTTCTTGTTGTACGTTCTGTATCTGTAGTCCGTGTTCTGCTGCCTGCCTTTGTTTCTTTGTTTCCTTTTTCTTCTATGCTTCCTGATGACCTTTTTTTGAAACCATACCACAGGTATTCATCTCCAGAGTATTTTGGAGAATTAATTTTTCTTCTTGACCTCATGCCATATCTTCCTTCATGAACCTCTTCTTTATCATCTCTACTTCCTCCGTCACTATTTGGTTTCTCTTGCGTAGCACTTTCTGTGGTATCTTTTATCTCACCCTCTTCATCAGGTTCTTCATCTTCCAATATTTTCTCTTCTCCACCACTAAGATCCCCAGATGAAATAGCAGACAAAGGTGAGCTTGCAGTGCTATTTGCTTGATCTGCAGATCTTTCAGCATCACCCATACCGATTTTGAAAAGGCTGCCTATTGTTGGCCCCTGATAAGCAGCAGGAGACACACTATAGATTGGTATTGCTGCTGGTTCATCTTCGGCAATTTCTTCCAAAGTGGACGGTTCATCTTGGGTTGGGGTTGGTGGATTCTCTTCTGAATTGTCATCTTTTTCTGGTTCTTGGACTACATTATCTGGTGATGCATGGTCCTCTGTGTCACTCTTTTCTTTTTCTACTTCACAATGATTGTCTCCAACTTTATCCTTACTTCTTGGAGGATCATTTATCAATTCTTTTTTTTCTGAATCTGAATTGTTTTCCATCATAACTGCTTTATTGGTCTCCTTAAAAGATTCATGAGCATTCAAAGGTTTTAACAAAATATTTTTTGAAGAGGCACTGGTTTGTGTTTGAACAACCAGGGCATCTTTTACACTACCATCATTAACTGCAACATCACTCTTTTGGGATTCACCTTCAATGCTACTCTCAGTAGCTGCCACTGCAATACTACTATCCAAACTACTATCAGTTACTGCAACATCATTCCTCTTCTGAGATTCATCTTCAGTAACTTCCATGTTTCTATTCCTCTGGGAGTCACCATGTAAGAATCTATCTGAAACTGCAATATTATTAGTTTCACAAGATACATCTTTAAAACTACTATCAACAACAGTATTCCTATCAGATTGATCTTTCATATTGCTATCAGTCATTGAAATATCATCCTCCTCAAGGGATTCATCTTTCAACCTGCTACCAGTCACTGCCACATCATTATTCTTATAAGATTTATCTCTCAAGATATCAGTAACTGCAACATTGCTATTAATTTGTGATTCACCTGTCATACTGCTAGTAGTCACTGCAGCATCTTTCTCCCGGGATTTATCAGTCACTGCCATATCACTATTCACATGGGATTTATCTTTGAAGCTACTATCAGTAATTGAAACATCACTATTTATTTGGGACTGAACTGTCATACTGCTATCAGTTTCTGGAACCTTATCACCATCCTGAGACTCATCTTTTAAGCTGCTTTCAGCTGATGTCAGTGCAACACCACTATTCCTTTTGGAATTAACTTTTAAGCTACTATGAGTAACTGGAACATAATCCTGCTTCTGAGATTCAGTTTTCAAGTTGCTATCAGCAATTGTCACACCATCATGCTCTTGGGATTTGTCTTTCCAGCAACTAGATTCTACTGCTACATGTACTGAAAACTGTTTTGTTTTGACATCAAAAGAGTGTAACTGCTCATTTTTATCATCACTGTCTATTATATTCAAATCAACCATAGATTCATTAACTTCAACATTACTAGCATCAGATGGTCTATGCAGTACATCATCAAATGCTTCTTTGAGCTCACCTTCTTCCAATTTATCCTCAATCATTTCTTGGTTTTCAGCACTTGAATGCTTACCATCTGATCCCCTAAATTTCTCTTTGTTATTGCTATCATTCATTTGTTCTTCTCCTGGTAATTCTTCACAAAGTAAATAATGAGTTTTCACAAGTGGTTTCTTCAGTTGCCTAGCAACCAAATCAAATCTGTATATTTCTCTGGGCTTTGAGTCTGTTACTTGCTTTCTTGGGGAAAGTGTTTCTTCAGAGACAGAGTGTGATGCAGCTGCCATTCTCTTCTTTTCTTTCTTCTTCTCCAGCAGTTTCTCTTTCATTTGTTCCTTTAGTTGAATAGATCGTGTTCTTTTTTCCTTTCTTCCTGGTCTATCATCAGTGTCTTCTAAAATACAAAATAGAGACATTTGCATTATAAAATTTATTTTGTAATGAAAAATACAACATTCATCAATATTAATGATATATTATATGCAATAGGTTTCATAATTATTTCAAACATCAGCTAAAAAGCATTACAAAAGGTAGTGCTTGGAGTTAAATTCTATGCATGTGCCAATATTTTTTTTTCCAATTGACTCAATAGGTATATTATTATTATTATATTATTATTATTTTAACAAAATTACATTTGTCTACACAAGAGATAAGCGATAATTCAAAAATTAAAGTACAGTCCTTATAGAAAAGGTTCATTTTTTCATATTAGTTTGATACCTTAAAAAAATGGTTAAAAAATGAGGAAGTGTGGAAAAAGAAAAAAAGTTTGGAAAAAAAAAAATAGCCTTTCTAAATGAAATAAAATAATACATTTATAATATGTGGTGCAACATAGCATACAGGAATATTACAACATAATACAATATGAAATAAAGATAAAAACAATAATAGAGTAAAACATCAGAAGTGAGGCAAAGTAATTTATATTTAACTCATTGTAGTGAGTTGTTTTTAAAGATAAGATCAAATTCATTGGTAAGTTACTATGGGAAAAACCACAAAATCTTTTCATCTGACGTCACATTAAGTATTTCTTTTTTCATGCACAATCATTTTCAGAAAATTTGTTTATGCCCAAGGTAAACAGTTGCACATAATAGACCATTGGCTTCCACCAAAGCAGGACTTCACACTGCCCACATTGCCTAATGAAAGGTGAAGTAGTCACAATTAGAGTGATTGTCCTTGTTCCAATGATATACACAAATTGTGCAATAATTCACAATAAATTTATAATTCAAAACTATTTTGGTACTGGCAATGATTCCATTTCACCATCTGTTTTATTGTGAAGTGCATGTACTCTTATGTGCAAGAGATTATACCATGTCACAAATAAATAGAAATCGGTAAATACTTTTTGAATTTGTCGAGCATTGAGATGGAAAATATGTTTTTGCTCAAATTTTATTGTTCAAGTTAGTATCTAATGACAGACAGAATTTGTTAAATATCTGAGGAAAAATTTTTTTTCAAAACAATTACATGCTTTTTCCAGATTATTATGCATCTCACCTTCATCAGAAGTATTGCTCTTTTCTTGTAATGCTTTTTTTCGTTTCTTGGCCAACCTTTCAGCTTTCATTTGTTCTATCTTCTTTTGATGTTCCTCTCTTGCTTGTTGTCGTAAGACAGCTCTCTCCTCTCTTGCTTCAGCCTACAAAACATCAGACAGTAATTAACAACCACAAATAACCTAGTTTTTCTTAATAAAATTTTTGTATCTCCAGTAGCATAAATGGTACATGAAACCGTTAAGTAAAAGGACTACTAGAATTCACAGAATTATTTGCATCATCTTTTAACAAAAATAATGAAAAACAATAATTATAATGCATGCAAATGATAATCTTAGCATGTACAATGGACAGAAATATTCTAATTTGTGTGTGAAATTAAAAGTTGATTCTATGGTTTATTAACACAAAAAAATTTGTTATTATAACATTGCCTATAAAGCAGTCTTTTCAGTCTTAAAATTCATTAAATGTTTTAAGGTAGGGAGGAAAATCACTCAACACTATCCACTCTGCCACTTTTGTGACACATACGTGTGCCTTCAACAATTTCTCACCCCCTACCCCCAGGCCCTGTGACTCATTGTTACATATACTGTATAGCTAAAGAGTAAAAACAAAATACAAATTAGTAGCATTACAACACTAGATTTAGAAGTGTGTGTTGAACAACTTACAGCCTTCCTTCTCCTCTCTTGTCGCTTCTCCATATCTTCATCGCTATCACTATGGTAACGACTAATGGCTAGAGCCAGGTTAGAGGACTTTCTTCCTGATCCTTTAGAAGAACCTTTATCTGAGTCTGTTGCCAATGAGGAACACCTTGACAATGATCTCTCACCTGCCATCTCAACACTGTCACCTTTAAGTAAATAGTGAGCATTGAATGTAAGTACGAATGTGGGTTACATGAAAATGAAAATATATAAAGAATCTCATATATTCAGAATACATATGCTTTGAAGACAATTCTGGCATTTATTTGCTGAAGCAGCAGCAATTAAAACAAGGTAAAAATTGAGAAATTAAAGAGCAGTTTTAATCTGTTTTCAGAAACATGAACATACTTATTTTTTTAAGTTCGTCATCATCAGAATCAGATAAATCACTGCTTGAAGATGAGCTGATGCCCTCCGTAAACGAAGACAAATCACTAGTGTGCACTGAGCTAACAGTTATGTCTGTTAAGCGGTCTTCTTCATCATCCCCACCACCATCACCTTTGCCAGCATCACCATCCTTTGCATCTAGACATCCTTCTTTTTTATCATCAGTTCTTTCCAATTCAAGAATTTGCATCTTCTCTTCCACGACATTTGATTCCAGAGTCATGTTTTCATCGTCATGCTTTGATTCTTCTTCATTCCTCTCTCCAATGATACACTTCACCTTTTCCTTTGCCTTATGTAAGAGGTTCTTCATAAATTTGAATGGTCCACTCTTTTGTAGAGGTTCTGATTTGGTGGTTTCTTCTATGTCCATTGACTCTGTGCTCTCTACATCCATATCTATTCAAATATAAAAAAGGTTATTAAAATAGTGTAACAGCATTTTTAATTGGAATTAATCACACTTGTTGGTGTTGTGCGCTATATGGATTTTGCTAGTCAATATCGAATTAACTTTACATAGTGACAGTAAATAGAAACCAAACTAATAAAGAATCCTTCAAATAATTTATAATATTTTACAACATAACACTGCAATATCTCAATAGTCCTGTATTTTAACATATTTTTGATCAAGTTTAAATGCTATAAAATAGTTATAATTCCACAATTCATATGTCATTGCAGTGACGGTCATGCAGTGAGTGATGCTAACTTCTAATGAATTTTGGCGAATTACAATTATTCACAAGATCCTGAATAACTTAATTTTTATCAAGTTTAAGGTACAGTATACTGTAGCTAAGATGTTTAAATAACTCAAATAGAGTAAATCAGTTTGCTTTCACTGGAATTTGCATTTTAATTTCAACCCAAAAACTAGGTCAAGAAAACATCAGGCTTGCCTGTCTTATAGTGTACCAGTTATATCCACCAAAATCTACTATTTTCTGTAAACTACATAGTGTAAAAAGTTTTGCTGAAATGTCAATCTGTGATGAGGTGATGATTCAAAATAAGTAATTTCATTCTTTTATAAATTATTGTCTAGTCACACAGTATTGCATACATAAAACATAAAATTTCATCTGGGAAAATACTTAAATAAATTTATGATCCTTATAGCTATAGGAATATACACTCTTCAGTAATTGGATACTGTAATCGATCTTGACCTCAAGAAGTCATTTGCCACGTCATAGCATTTGAAAGCCTTATTAAACATTTATCTCCTAAATGGTGGTTGTTAAATGAATTGTACTTTTTTGTACAGCAAACCACCATACAGAATCACGATATAAACAAGCAAATTACAGTAGAGGCCATCAGTTATTTAAAAACATTTAGTCCTGAGACTAATATTAAGTCTCTACAGTATACTGAACATAACATTTATTTATACACACTAAGAAGATGATTGGACATGTCAGAAGCTTGTTTCCATTAGAGTTGTATTAGGAAGGCTTTTCTAGGCCTAGTGATTCAATCACTATCACAGGGTTTGGATGGTGTTTGCACTGTGTTTTTGGAGGTTTGCAGGTTTTAGCAATTTTTTTATACAAAAAATTGCCTTTTTACCCCAAAAATAGGTTGTGAGGAACATAAAAATATGATTTTTTTTTTTGAGATACCAAATTGAGTCCTATACTATGTGATTCAATCATTATCACAGGGTTTGGATGGGGTTTGTGGTGTTTTTTTGGAGGTTTGCGGGGTTTAGCAATACCCAATTTCTCTGGCACCCAATACATGAACTAGAGTGCGTCATTCCATAAAGTGCATACAGTACCTCATTTCATTTTATTTATTTTGTCACCTCCACTCTGTGCCAAAGTATAATTCGCTGGGTTATATTTTCTTTTTTTTAATGAGTAATGGTTAAAAATCAAATTTCCGTGACTCTGACCTTGTCCTCTGACCTTTTCTTTCCAAAATTTAATCATCTCTTTCTTAGATTATTATGTACCATTCCATTAAATTTTATGCCGACCTATTCCTTAGTTCTTGCATACCTTGGTAACAGACAAACAGACAGCGGTGAGTATTCAACCTCCTTTGCAAAGGTACAACATGTCTTAATGTAAATCATTGATAGGAGAGATAAAATAATTTTTGATTCTCACTTAAATTCACATTACAGTAATTAGAATGAAAGTACCCTTACCTTGGGAAGGTGAAGGTGGTTCATCTGGTGGAGGGGGAGGTGCAACACTTTCTGGCAAAGGAGGAGGTGGGGCTTCTTCAGGTAGTGGTGGTGGTGAATGGCTTGGAAGGGGTGGAGCTTCATATGGTAGCGGAGGAGCTACACTAGAGGATGATTCCATGATAGGTGGTGTGCTGACTGACACATGTCCAGTAAAAGAAGTAGCTTGGTTCGCATATGATGGTTGGCTTTCATTGACTGAAACACGATTACTGAAAAGTTGAGAAGGATTGGAACTACATGTAGTTGGAATAAATCCACTCAATCCCATTTCTGAGTTTGGATCCAATTCAACTTTTAAAATGTTCTGCACCACTTCTTCCAACTTTGGACGGAAAACATGTTGAATTTGAGGGTCAACAACTTGCTCTATAACTCGTTCAACACCGATAGCAAGAATTTCGGATCTAGATGGGAAAAAAGGCACACGTATCTCAAAAATTTATCTGACAATGATTTTGTTTCTTTAATAAAATACGAAATATAATTATGAATGAATTATACCCATCTGAAGTGGTACATTATGTACTATCAATAATTTACTATCACCTGCATAAATGTGTTTTAATGCTATCTTACAAAATGCTTCTAGAATTTTAAATATTTTACAGTACATATACTTGCAAAATACGAAGCGAAAAATGAAAATATGGCTTTTTTGTCTGTTTTAAATTTCTGATTATGAATTAATGAAAATATCTGAATAGTGGATGCTGTAGCTTGGTAGTTAAGATGCTTGCCTTCTAATCCCAGGGTCCTGGGTTCAAATCCAGTGACAGCACAGGATTTTTTTCTCACAATTACAGTAAAACCATCTTCACTCCCTAAACTTTGTAATGAGACTTCACTGAAAGCATTCAATGTTATTTCATATAATAAGAGGGCCAAATATCAGCCAAACTTGTGCTGAAAGGGCCACCATTAATAATATAGTAAAAAAAAATTAAATAAATGAAAAAATTAATAATGGGTGGTTAAATCTTGCATAATCCACTTTAGTCATCATGTAATGACTACAGATCCCCTTTCAAAGATCTTACAATAGACTGGTGGATACAAACAAACTAATTTTATGTTCCAGAAGCAAATTTTGTTCATAACAAGTACATATAAACCTCCAAAAATATTTAAACTTCATTGTGAGGACCAGAAAATTGGAAGGACCATCTTTTACTCACTGATTGATTTGTCTCCTCAAGCTGTCTCTCAATTGATTCTTGTTCATGGTAGGACTCCATGTTACCCCACTAAGAAAGTTAGATACATAATTCTCCACACGTTGTCTTAAATTTTGATAGGCAGGCTGCAGAGAAAGGTTCACAGTAATTATAATTAAGTTTGTCATTAATTACTACAGACTTGCTGTTTATTATTTTAGCTGAAGGAATTAACACAAAATTCAGATATTAAAGAAGGTCTGCAGGTGAATCCACTTTGCAAAATTAAGATCTAGAAATACAGTATGGGCCAACTTCTGTGCCAAAATGTTCAGAAAATTAGGCTTCAAGTATGTATACAGTAAGTCTCAATACAAACCACAACCAGGCAGTACTTATGCACCATTTTTAGCCACGTTTTCACTGTCCTTGCAAACGTTCCACTGGACATTAGAACTGTGGCACTGTTCTTCACTCCCCTTGGACTTTGATTAGGGTGTTTCATAGTTTGGTACAGAAGTACTGATACTCACTATTTTTTATACAAGTATTTATTTATTTATTCAATTCAATCATCCAACAGGACCAAGAAGGTCCCACTTACAGGCGAAGATTGTAGTAAAATATTTCTATGTACAATATAAAAATATAAAATATTTAAAAATTCATCAAATTATTAAAACATTGTAGAGTTAAATATTACATCGACATTCTAGGAATCTAGGCAGAGGCCTAGGCTAGTCATAATTTTACTTTCATTTAAAAAACGGTTTGGAGACAAACTGCACTGCACTCACAGAGGTGATGCCTTCGCCGAGCAAACTATTATAAGATAACGTAACTATTGAGGTTCTTCGTTAGTATTTTATTGCAAAAAAACACAAATTAATGACCAGGCCTAGCTTAGGCCTATGGCGCCTTCTGGTCAAAACGGCAATAAACCAAAATGGCAATAAGTCAAAACGACAATGACCAAAATGGCAAAAAACCAAAACAGCAACACTTTTTGACCAGAACGGCAATGGACCAAAACGGCAATAAGTCAAAATGGCAATAGAAGTCAAAACGGCAATAGAAGTCAAAACGGCAATAAACCAAAACAGCAACCAAATATAAACATGAATGTGTACACGATTTTAAATACGGTAAAAATGAGGCTAAATTTTCATAGTGTTAACAATATAACACTACAAATTCAATAATAAAAAGATTGTAAACATTAAAACTTTAAAATACAGACAAAATGATGCTAAACAATTTATGTCATAAAGTAAAAACGCGAAAAAAAAAACCAAGTATAAACATGAAAGTGTACAATTAAATATGGAAATATGAGGCTAAATTGTCATAGAAGTAAAATACGCGAAAGAACGACAACAATAATAATAATAATAATAATAATAATAATAATAATAATAATAAAACATCCAAATTCAATAATAAAAAGATTAGGGGAAACACAATGTAAAAGCAGTAAACATTTAAATAAATACAACTTTCAAATACAGACAAAAAAATGTAAATTAAAAATGAGGCTAAATTGTCATGGAATTAAAAAACGCGAAAGAACAACAACAACAACAATAATAATAAAACATACAAATTCAATAATAAAAATATTAGGGGAAACACAATGTAAAAGCAGTAAAAATTTAAATAAATAAAACTTTCAAATACAGATAAAATCAGGCTAAACAATTTATGTCAAAAAGTAAAAAATGCAAAATAATAATAATAACAACAACAATAATAATAAATAAAACTTTAGCATATAGACAAAATGAAGCATCAAACAATTTGTCATACATGTGTAATAAATTTAAAAAAAAAACCGCAATTAAAAATTGAAAGTGGGAAAAAGAGCCTATGGCAAAATTCGATTTCAGTATTTTTAAAGAAGTCAAGTTTATTTTGTTCTGAAACCAGTTTATTGTGTTAGTTTATATATTTATCTACAACTGGGTGTAATATTTAGATAATTTGAACACCGAAACCTAGTTTTTGACCAAAAATAAAAAGTGTGTTGTGAATAGAAATTCCCAAAATCTGTTCGTGCGGTGCAGCATGAGTGGTCATGCACATCTGGTCTTGCCTGATTGCACATGACAACATGTTTATACACACAGTCGCGATCGATTTTATGTTATGTTTTGTTTTATCCATGTTTATTGTTCTGAAACCAATTTAATTTTAATTATATCAATACTTAATATGATATATAATCATATTTTGATGAATTAAATGTGGGACGACCATAAGAAAGAGGAAAAAAAAATTATTCTCAACGGAGGGTACTGTAGGAAAGTGGGTTGGGTGGGGTCAGGCGTGGTCAGGGGTGGGGTGAGGGTCAAAACACACCTACATATGCCACTGCTTTTGTTCTCCTTGTGTGCTTTCAAATGTCTTATTCATTGAGGCACGTGTAAAAAAATTTAAAGACATTATGGCATATTATAATTAATTATTTGTAATTAATTAATTAATTTAATTGTTATTTAATTAATAAATTATTAAATTTTAATGATTTTTATAATGTTTCTTTTGTCCATTTTGTGTGCTTCCAAATGCTTTTTATTTTATTGAGAAATGTATAGAAACAAAAAAGCATTTTTTGTATGTTTTTCAAGAACAAGGTCACATACTTCTCCATTGTTTACATAGGATTTGAAGGACCAAAATTAGGCATAATTTAATTATTATTAATATTATTTTATAAATAATCTCTTAAATTATGTAACTTTGCTGATGATATTTGACGGATGACAATGAACTTGGTATCAATTTAATTCTATAATAATACTCTTTTAAATGATACCAGCTGCAAAGGAATTGCTCGAACTTGAAATTTTTTGTCGCGTACCTACTGTCGGGACAATTTCAAATTCAGAAAATTATGCAGCTAGTCAGCATTGATTTTGCTCGTTTGTCGTTTTGGTAGGCACCTGCAAGTTACGTTGCCACGCCCACTTTTGCTGTCGGTGTAAATTTGTGACTCGAGACAGCGGCGGCCCAGCATAGCTGTTAGTAATTAATTCGTAAAATTACGGTTTTGATTGGTTACTGCTGAAGTTTTGACCTCAAAATGTCAAGCGGAAGTTATTCTACAGCTGTGTTATTTTTCCATTTTTTTTGTCCGACGTTATATCGAGGTTTGCAACATTCGAAAATTGACGATCGTAAAACACGCTTATTTTTCATTAAACGAAAATGAGTCCATTATTTTGATAATAAGGTCCATAATTAGTATGTTATATTGCATCATTTGACGCAAGATTTAGAAAAATTGGTGCATGGGAAAGTGCAAGTTGGCCACAGGTTTTCAACTCCATTTTGTAGTCACTTCATGGTGTTCTTCTGTGTAATGTTAAAGAATAGGCTTTTAGCTGTGCGAACGCTGACCACGGATCAAATGAAAAATACCTAGTATTTTTACACCAAATATATTATAAATAGTAGATATAGCATGTAATATTGGTACAAATACTATTTGTTACTTGTAATTATGCTCTAGTTTCTAAATATGTTAGATTATAGTGATTTTTGATGATTTTAAATTCATTAAAAAAATCAGCCTATGAACATTATTAGTTTGGGTGGTCATTTTGTAATGTGGCTAATCAGAGCGTGCGGTGGTACCTAGGCTGGTAGATTAATGTTTTTTGTTTGCTTCCCCCACCCACTCCAGATCTCATTAATGAAGATACAGATACAGATCTTTTATTGTTATAAAAATACAAGGTACAATTAGTGCTAACTCAGTAAAAAAATCAAATTCTATAAAAAAAATGCTCTCCAACAATATGCTGGTTGTGGGGGAGGGGGGAACTTTTAAAAACAGAATCAGCTCAATACCCCTCCCCACCCATCCAGCCCCCCCTCCCCTTTCCACACCCATTCAATCTTTGATGCCAAATTATGTCATCTAACCTGAAAATGAGCAAATGTTAATTAATTAGATTCATGAAGGCTATTGACAAACAATATTCCAATTTACTTGATTTCAAATAAATTCCCCTCCGCTACCCCCACCAGGAGTTTATTTAAGAGCCGGCGGCCGGCGCATTCGATCGGCTACTACAATGTTTTCGCCGGCTACTTCAATCAATGCTGTACAAAAATTAATACAAAAACCACCAATATAAATAGCACAACAGGCTTGTAAAGAACCTTATTTACCTACACGAAGTTAATTTGCAATAGTATGCACTCAATTCGATGTTCATTTCTGTTGAAAGTTCGTTAAAATGTCTGCCAATTTTCAGATTCCATGTTTGACTTTCATGAACTCACAGCGTAAACAAAGTTAAAGTTCAAAGTTCGGCAGTCGCGCCTGGGTGAGTCCATCAAAGAAGCCACGCCTCCAATTCACATGTTAGCCAATAAGATAATAGAAATTTCTCCTCCACCACGTGCTCAGGTGATGACGGTATACATCGCCCAAACTCTTTTTCCGTACATTGGGCTTCCGGGTTTTTTGACCGCAGACAAGGAAAAAAACAGATCGTCATTTAAAATTAATTTGTGTATGACTATGAACCTTTTATTTTCATTTCATTTTTATTTTACTAGCCCTCTTTGTGATGACATAGATATTTCGGAAATGATAAATAATTTAAAAAAAAACCAACACGGCTCAAATTTGTTTACACTCGGTGGCGGGGGTAGCAAGCCGAACCAAATTGAATGCTGTTTACACTCACAATTTCAGAGTCATAGATAGTAAAATTATTAAAACGGCAGAGCAAGCCAAAATCGTCTCAATTCACATCACATGAGACATTTTTTTCCAATGTGGTATCCATTCGTTTTCGATATCTGCGTAAATTTTAGAACTATTTTTTGCTCTCCTTAGATGTTTTCTTCAACGCAGATCTACCTAGGGCATAGGCCTAAATGGTGAATCCCCACAAATTTCAACATGTTTGTGAAAAGTAAACAACTTCATCATTATAAAAATTGTATTTTCAATTTATTTTGGTGGATTTTATTAAATGTGTATAAACTTTAAAAAGAATGTATTTCAATTATTGAATCAATATTCTGACCTTAAAT